TGAGAATCCTTTCTTTCATTATTGTTGGTGCTGTTTTTGCCTAACTTCCCTGTGACTTCATCCCACTTTTCCTTCTCACAGCCAACCCTGCCATTTCTCTCCAAAAATCATTGGGGTGGGGGAATTGCCAACTTCCCTTTGCAGATCATTGAAGAATTTTTCTTTTTCGTCCTGTCAAGCATTATCATTAGGACCATATGCTACTATAATGGGGGCAGGGTACCGCGGGTGTGCACAGCACCACGATTTGTCCGGTAACCAGATAACCGAAGTTATGAGATTGAAAAAAGTACGAGTTTGCGTCTCCCGATGATGGAGGGGATTTTAAATTTCCTGCCCTCACCCTCCATCCCAGGAAAATTCCGTATAGCCTAAAAGGCGAGGTAGGGAAGAACAAGAAAATGAAACAAAAAAATATGCTTCTATAAGTGAATGTATTTTCTCACCTTCCAGGATATCCAGAACCATTACTCTTATTCACATATTTCATCTTTCTGAAAGAAAAGCATAGGTTGTGGTACAGAAATCCTACTCCACTGGCCGCTTTCTGGTTTTCGCTGTCACCCAAGAACAGAACAGTGTAGTCTTGAATTTTAATTTCACCCTTGATTTTCTTCTTTGTTTCACTTGTTGCAAGGATATCGACCTTCGCTTTCCTTGCGACCAATTCTTCCACTAGTTCACAATGGCTCAAGCCACGTACATTCCAGATAGCAAGTCATGTATGAGTTAAATGTAAATAAACCTACAGAATAGATCATGAAAAACCGTTTTAAGCTGAAAAATTGGTTTATAATTTTTTGTAGAGGGAGTCCTTAATATAATTGAAGTTTAATATTAATCAACTTCTTAAGAAAGAAACAAAAAATATGATTTCTGTTTGTGGAATTGGTATATATCTAGGTAGAGCTTATTTCTTCTAAAAGAGTAAATGTGATCGATTGATAATTTATTTATATCATTTTAAACTTGCACAAATAATGTATTTTTACTTTACCTATGTTATTATTATTACTATAAGTATTGCGATCGTGAAAATTTTTTAATCTGAGTTTTCAACGGAAATACACGTTTTGAAGTCCCCCGAGACCAAATAACCAAGTCCCGAAAAATGGTCTGTGTGTATGTGAACACTCTAACTCGAAACCGAAAGGTTGTACAAAACTGATATTACATATGTAAGATAGATATATGCCTTAGATGTCCTGGCAACTTTTTCCTTAAAATCGGCTAACCGGAAGTGCTACTTTATTTGAACGCTGAAACATATTTTTACAATTTTCTCAAAAACGGCTCTAACGATTTTGATTAAACTTGGTGTATCATTGTATAACTAAGTGGTCTTTAATATCATTTAGGTCTTATACCCGTTGATGTCACTTTATAGTCACTTTATAGGGCTTAAATGTCCAATGTTCATATGCGTCTTCCTCTAAAGTACCTTAAATATGGTTTATTTTAAATAATCAACTATCTCTCATTATTAAAAGTTACGAACAAATGCTAAATATAACTTTTGAAAGAATTTAATAATTGAATAAAGGAGGAAAAATAAAAATGCTTATACACATCTAAAATGAATCTCCGGAAATACAAGTCAGAAGGTATACTTATAATATATCGTTAGAAAACGGAGAATTTTAGAAAAAACAATATCTAATATAGAAAGTTGTAGAAGGTAAAAAATTATGCACGGAAAGTGGCTAAAAAATTATAAGTAATAATTTTTGAAAACTGATCATATTTATGTAAATCACATGTTTTCAAGAAAATTAAATGAAATTTGCTAACTAAATATAAAGTTTAAAAAATATTTTTATCTTCTTATTTTTCTTTTTTATTGGGAAGCTTACGTTTATAATTTTTTCATTTTTTAGGCAATAAAACTTCCAATCTTCTTCATATTTTTTTATTTATGCTTTTTGTCTCTTACGTTTCGGGACAATTTTCCCATCATCAGAGTAATATTTTTATTTTTACTGAAATTATGAACATTTTCTATTTAACAATATCATTCCAATTTATCTATTTAACAATTATTTACCATTCTTTTTTTGTTGATGTGGCACCATTTGTCAAAAATTAAATATTTGTCACATTTTTTAAAAATTATTTGGTGTTACACATATTCACTCATACACTAATCAACATCTGGCTATTTTTAGTTTTATTTCTGCACTTTGTACCCAACCTCTTATTTCTTATTATGGTTGTTTGTTGTGTTTTTTTTTTAGCTATTGTTGTTTTGTTTTTTTAATTTTAATATTGAATATTATGTCCGAATAGTGTGTACCTAAATGTTTTGTATCTGTTTTATAGTTTACTGTTCTATTATTGCTTCCTGTTATATGTACAGCTTCCAGCAGTTTCCTACTATTTGTTTTAGGTTCTATTGCCAGTATTTCTGGGTTTTTGAAGTCAAAAGTGAGTAATGATTTAATACTGTGGTTTGCTAGGACTGTTATGTTAATATTTTTGCAGTTTGATGTATGTTGTGCTATTCTGGTTTTTAGTTTTTTTGAAGTTTCACCTATATATATTTGTTGGCAGTCTAACTTATAAACAACATTTTTCTTGTCCAGTGGTTCTATCTTGTCTTTTGTATTTATCAAGTATTTACTTAATTTTTTGTCGTTATTTATGCCAAACTGGATTTCCGGTAGGTCATAGTTCATGAATACTTGTTTAATTTGTTTTGTAAGTTGTGGTATGTATGTCATTTTGTTAAATATTCTTTTATTGTGAATTTTGCTTGTTTGTGGATTATTGCTTTTGATGTTGTCATTTGTTGTGGTTGTCTCCTTGAAAAATTGTGTAATAAATTGTTGTTTAGGTTTTTTTTGTTCGATGTTATTTATTTGTGTTTTTGGTCAGAAGGTATACTTATAATATATCGTTAGAAAGCGGAGAATTTTAGAAAAAACAATATCTAATATAGAAAGTTGTAGAAGGTAACGGAAAGTGGCTAAAAAATTATAATTTTTGAAAACTGATAATATTTATGTAAATCACATGTTTTCAAGAAAATTAAATGAAATTTACTAACTAAATATAAAGTTTAAAAAATATTTTTATGTTTGTAGAAAGTATTTAAAATCCACCTAATCAAGGCAATGGCAGAGTTAAAAAAACTATTTCATTGTACTTGTGTGAAAGAAGAAGTAAAATATAAAATCATTTCATGGATGGATAAAGCATATGTTCATAACCTTAAGTACATTGACTGTAGTTTAGTAATTATAGATCTGATATATTTAAATAATTAGGTATCAACGTTTATTCCGAAAAATTGTCATGTAACTTTTTAGAAAATTAAATTAGTGAATAATTTGATGAATTTTCCCTTTGTGAAATCCCAACATTATCATATCTTCCTCTGAAGTACCTTTAATTTGGTTTATTATAAATAATAATAACTATTTATCATTGTTAGGAGTTATGGAAAAATGCTAAATATAACTTTTGGAAGAATTTGATAATTTAATAAAGAAGAAAAAATAAAAATACTTATCCAGGTCGAAAATGGTGTAAGTATTGGATCTCCGGAATGGTCAGAAGATGTACGTATAATATATCGTTGGAAAGCGGAGAATTTTAGAAAAAGCAATATCTAATATAGCAAGTTGTAGAAGTTAACGAAGAGTGGTGAAAAAAATATACATAATAACATGTTTTCAAGAAATGAAATTTTATTACTAAATGTAAACTTTTAAAAAAAATTTAAAGTTTGAAAAAGTATTTTAAACCTACAGATTCCAGGCAATCACATTGTTTAAGATACTATTTCATTGTACTTGTGTGAAAGAATAAAAATATAAAGTGAAATATAAAAATATTTCATGCATAGGTTTATAACCTTAAATATATTTATTGTAGTTTAATAACTCTAGATTTGACATTATATTTAAATAATTAGATATCTATTGTCCGTTTATTCCAAAAAATCATTATGTAACCTTTTAGAAAATTAAATTAGTGAATAATTTGATCAATTTTCTCTTTGCAATATTCCAACAGAATCCACTTACAATTAGTGTGACAACTTTTGACCTGTCTATGACAGACAATGCAAATCTCTTAACTCAATTTAAATCAACTTTGCAATGGAAAATAATAGTTGTAATTACGACTTTTAGTTTTATCAATACTTTTATTGTAATTCGCACATCTATAAATTTTCTACATGTGATCTATATTTCTCATAATCGATTCTTAATTATTCCAGAGAGATAGGACACTATAACAGTTTAATAACTAATAGTTATACAATCCATAATCAACCGGTGATATAATAAATAGGACTTTTGTTATTTTAATAGTATTTATGATTTGTTAGCTACAATCTTTTAGCTTTAGCTCAGTTAAAAATTCAATACAATGTGGAGTTTTTTATAACTAGTAATGTGATAACCATGCCATCGTTACAAAAGTATGTGAATTCTTTGGCAAATTCTGCATGTGTATATTATTATAGGGTTTAACCGTGGATTAAGGATAGCTTTGAATTTAAAAATCAGTAAACAGGAAATATAATAAAGGATTAGGTGTGTAGTCTTGAGCTTGAAGAGAATCTTCTTGTTCCAAACTTTGTCAAATGGTTGGATGACATCCAGAAATACTCCAGTTCGATATCATTCCTACTCTATTGCTTTCGATAAGTAGTAAATTAGTTTGTTTTGTTTTCACGTTAGTTATTGCTATTATTGAATTTCAAACTGTGATTGGATGCTGAGATTTTCACAAGACTGATTGGTCATCTGTTTTTATTATGCGATAGTAAAATTATATTTTGGAGGAAGGAGATGGTCCGGAGTGGTGGTCATAAATAGACTAAAATAGTGGCAAAACTATTTTATTAAAAGCCAACTTTCGACCCCACTTTGCAGGTCTTCTTCAAGTGTTCAGCAAGGAGTTTCTCTTAAAACATGATTAAATTTGGCTTAATTTATATCTTAATTATTATGTTTCCTTACATGATTATTATTTTATTTTTTTTCTAGGGAGCTGATGAACAAATGGATTCTTGTGACAAAACTGAGCTGTCATCTCAGGCTGAACCTATGGACATTGAAGAGTCTAAAAGTGAATCTTCTCAACAATTAAATCAAACTACACAATTGTCTCATACCTAGAAACTAATTTGCTTAGGTACTCTTAATTGCTTAATTATATTTGTGTACCTTGTGTAAACATATACACTCAGGTACACACACATCTTGTCTTATAACCACTATTAATCGTTTTATTTTTTTAAAGAATTGCCTTACTGAAAAAGAGTGCTGTTATTACCAGGATTAATAAAGTACTAAGTATTGTTAGTTTAAATTGCTATTAATCAATAATTAATAAAGAAAATTAATTAAAGATTCAATAGTCATTGTTTATCTAAATTGGAGTAGATACAATTATTATACACATCAATGATCAATAATTGATTGAAACTGCTTTAATAGGTCTTTAGAACTGTAAAAATAATTTTTAAAATTGTTTATCACATAACTTATAACTACTATTTTCTTTATATATTTAAGATTACTTTATAAATATTGTAAATGATTTTAAATTAATAAGTTGTATATTTCAGTTTTTTATTCTGTCACTAAGCTCTGAAATGAACATTTTAAGTTATTTTTTATTAAGATTACTAAATATTTATTCTAGTCCTCTTTATTACAAAGGGCTGAAGGATCAAGTATTTTTCTAGATTTTAGACTTTGATAATGGATGGTGATCAGCCTGTTTAAGTATGGAGCTATGTTATATCTATATTATTTGTTTTATTTTTTTGTTTTTTTTATTATCATATTTCGTTATTCAAAAAAGGATATAATTTTATACCTATTTGTTTTAGCAATAGAAGAAACTGTTAAATAAATTTTAAGTTAGTCTAATATTATTTTCATTGTCCCAAACTTCTATGATACTTCATAATGATATTATTTCTTTACAATATTATGGGAGTATACAAGTGCATTCGAAATTGGAAATAAATTGAAATCAACGGATATAATTTAACATAAGTTACAATTACAGCACTCCATTTATTAGAATATGGAGTGCTTGTGAAAAAAATTATAAGAAAATGTATTGCAGGTAATTTCCTCATTTTTATTCTAATGCAGAATCACTTTTTGCATTAAAATATTACATTATAAGTTATATATAACCAAACAATATTTTATTGAGCAACTTTACCTTCATATTTATCACCTCATAAGACATAGTTTATGGCGTTGAAAAAAATTAAACCGTAATTTTCTTCTTTGAAGTAAAATTTGAATAGTTAAGTATAAATATCTGGTGCGCTCAACACACAACTTTCACTTACCGCTCTACTTTGAATAGAAATTATTTTCTGGCAATATTGGACTATTATAAAAATTTTGAAGTGCATTTTAAACGGAGCTAAGCCTTAAAGATAACACATCATTAAGATTACAATAAGTCTCTTTATTATAACGATGGTAGGCAATAGTTGACCACATAACTTCAGTCTCTGAGCCTTTCACTTAACAGAATGACTAACTCCAATTTCAACATTTTTTGAGTAATGTCATTTTGGAAAATTTATATCTATACAGACTGTGAGTAAGTTGATTCCATGTATGTAGGTAATTGCAGTGTTGAAATATATAACTGTGAATAAAGGTATAAATTTTGCCACTAGAAACATTACTAAAATTAATAATAAAAAATGTTGAAATTGGAGTTAGTCATTCTGTCAACAGAAGGGCTCATGCCTAGAGAGATTTGAAATTATAACTGCATATTTAACCTATAAATGATTATGGATTGTAGAACTATTAGTTACTAAACTGCTTTTCCATTTTAAAGTTTACTAAAACAAAATTACGAGATTTTCATTGCCTTGCCATGGATATGGATAGGTCAAAAGTTGTCACACTAATTGTAAGTGGATAATATTTGGATTTCACAAAGCGAAAATTCATCATATTATTCACTAATTTTCTAAAAGTTACTTAATGATTTTTTGGAATAAGCGGCCAATATTATTAATTATTTAAATATAATATGAAATTTTAGTTATTAAACTCCAGTAAATGTATCTAAGGTTATAAAAATATTCCTCAAATATTTTTATATTTCACTTCTTTTTTCACGCAAGTACAATGAAATAGTATTTGAACAAGGTCACTGCTTTGATTCCATGGATTTTAATTTTTTTTTTTTTTTTCAAATTTAACAAAAAAAAATATTGAAGGAAGCTAGTGGACTGTTCTACATTTCATGGGTGATAAATATTCAGGACCCAGTATTTTGAAAAAAAAAATAATTTTTCCTTTGTGTCAACCTATTTATTTGATATTATTTTTTCTAAAATTCTCTGCTTTCCAATGATATATTATACCTATACCTTCTGACTTATTTCAGGAGATTCATTTTCAACCTGGATAAGAATTTTTCTTTTTTTTTTCTCCAGTTTCTAATTATCATATTCTTTCAAACTTCATTTGCCATTTTTTATTGTTACTCTCAATAAAAGAGAGTTGTTTTTTTTAATAAACCAACTTTTTTTTAATAACAAAAAGGAAGACGTATATAAACATTGGTCATTTAAACCCTGTAAAGTGACATCAATTGGGATAAGACCTAAATGATATTAAAGACTACTTAATTATAAAATTATACGAGTTTAATCAAAATCCTGGAGTTGCTTTTGAGAAAATTGTAAAAACTGTTTCTCCATTGATATAAAGTGGCACATCCGATTAGCCAATTTTAAGGAAAAAGTTGCTGTAACATTTGAGTGTTATACCTAAAAAAAAAATCTTAAATAGTAATATCAGTTTCGTTTTTGAGCTAGACTGTTCACAGACAATTTTGCAGTACTTGGTTATTTGGACTCAGGGGACCTCAAAACGTGTATTTCCGTACTTGTACTTTCCCTGACTGTATATTACATATATAGGTAAGTGAAAGTAAAAATGACTATATATTGATTTATTGAAAATGTGTGAAGTATCAATAGCGAGTGTTTGGTAAAAAAAAAAGTATTAATCTTTCTAAATATGGCTTTCTTCATCAGAGATGGGCAAAATCGGAATCAATGACGATAACTAAAAATAAAACTTAATGACCAGGCCAATTTTATACTTCATTCATCAGCACTATGAACATAGCAAAAATGTGATACGGTGACCTTGACGAAGAAACGTAGTCAAAATAATGATTGGCAAATTAGTAAGATTATTCACAGCCCACTTAATGTCTTATTGACAACAATCGATCAGTAATGGCTCGATTTAGTCTTTTCTCTAAAATATATATGTTTAAAAAATATAAAATGTATATGAAGAGAAGAATATTTGGGGTGCTCAGTCAATTTGACTGATCACCCCAATTATTCTTCTATTCATTATTCACGGCAGTCAGCTATTTACCCACAATTAAAATTTATATGTATCATATATGGCGCAACACTTCGTAGCTGAATCAGGGCCCTCTCCAACTGTTTTCGCCATTCTTAACAACAATCATCCAGTCCGCTATTCCAAGAATATACCTGGCATCTGCATGGACGTTATCCAGCCATCTTGTTTTGGATCGCCCCACTCTTGTAGCTTGATAACAAGTTTCCATGGCTGATTTTTGGGGGGATTTCGTTCTCGTCCATTCTGGCGAGATGTCCTGCCCACCCAAGCCTCCTTACACTGATACATCTAGGAGCATCTGCAGTCTTGAAGAGTGCGTAGATCTCCCAATTTTTTCTTCTCTGGACATTGCCTTACCATATCGGACCAAAAATTCTTCTCAATATCGTCCGTTTTAAGATCAGCAGCTTATTTTCATCAAACTTACTCCACGTCAAAGCTTCAGGTCCATACGCGAGAAACGGGCAAATAAAGCCTTCCTAAGGCCTCACTTTGTTTTTATTGGTAATAAAAAACCTGTACCACTAACAACCCATGAAGGGTTATGGGTTCAGTACAATATGAGGAAGTACTGTTACAAGGCCATCGGTTGTGCAGGGAGGTGACGGGCCAACATCACACTCAACCACCAGGTTTTCCCTCTTAATTATTTAATTAAGATTACCCACTTTATAGACGCTGGGTTGGCCCCAGGAGGGTCTCCCAGCTCCAAGGTCGACCCATGGCTGATGAAAAATGACTAGTCAGCCAGATTCAAACCTGGGACCTTGAGCTCTGTAAGTCAGTGCCCCCCCCCCACACTGAGCTACTCCGCTCCCTTTATTCCTACTTCTAAATTGTTTAGGTAGGCCAAAATAGCAGCTGTTTGCTGCTACAGTCCAACGTTTAATATCTTGAGATGTATATGTATGTATTTAATATAAAATATATATGTTTTATCTGCTTCAACTTATTTTATTAAAGGAATTTGAAATTTAATGAGTAACAGCTGCTGAAGCCTTATATTGAGGCGTTTTGCCAGTAGCTGACTGGCCTGTACTTGCATAAATTCAAATTCAAAATTGCATAAATACTTAATATAAACTAATCTTTAAAATGGAACCGTTTACTATTCTCTCAATAATAAAAAAAAGTAAATTAAAAAATGTTAGTAATTTTTAAATACAAATCAAAAACAGGTTCTTGGCGGTGTCCAGTATTTATCGGTAAATCTAAGCTGTAGAACGCAAGAAGTTAGTTTTATATTGAGTTAAAGGTGATTTTTGTTAATTCCTATTTTAAAATATAAAATTCCAACACTTACTTTCGCATAATTACATCCTTGTTCTAACCTCTGTCAGCTATAGGAACATTTCAAGTTAAACAGTGCAACAAAACTATTCTCTAAATTTACAATTATTTAAAATTTAGGTGGATGTTGCATAGATTTTAAATTTGTCTTGGTAAGGTGGGAAGTAGCTCTATATCTTGATCCTAGAAAAATGTAACATCCATATTTACATTTTTACACCTAAAAGTTCAAAGAAATTTCTCTTTGCATTTATCCTACTTTCGAGAAGAACAAGTTCCTCCGTGAAAGAGATTGCTGCTGGTTTCTTATTTTGTTTTATACTTAAATAGAAAATATTTAAAGGGGAGTATAAGCTAAGAAGACGACTGGTTTCCAGAAGGGCAAATCGACCATCAACTAAGTATATATACTAAGGATGATTTTGGAAAGAGGTCATGAGTATAAGGTGCCAACTCACCAATTATTCATTTACTTCAAAAATGCTTATGACAGCGTAAAGCGAGCAAAGCTGTATGATGCACTGTTAGAGATGAATGACCCAAATAAGTTGGCTGGCCTTACGAAACTGACGGTGAGGGACGTTAGATGTCAAATCCGGATACAATTTGAATGCTCATCCGAATTCACTTCTTTCAAATGGTTAAGACGAGGAGATGGTCTAGTCTGCCTTCTATTTTATTTTGTGCTATAAAAAGTGGTGAGAAACTCCGGAATTCAGGCGCGATGCACTATCTTCTCCCATATGGTGCTAATACGTGGATACGCCGATGACTTTTATAGTTACAAGGTGTCAGCCAGAGCTAGAAGAAGCATTTCTTAAACTTGTGAGGGCAGCTTCAACTGTTAGCCTTTTTGTGAATGAAGCCAAAACTAAATATTTCTACACAGGAGCTGAAGGAATTTCGGAGTTGGTTACTAGCTCATACACTTTAGAAAGGGTAAAGCAGTTCACTTACCTTGGATCCCACGTGACATCGAATGATATGTCAGAGGAAATAAAGATAAAACTGGCCGCTGCAAATCGGTGCTACTTCAGACTACTGAAGATCTTTTGAAGCAGAATCTTGAGCAGACAAACCAAGCTTACTCTTTATAAGACTGTAATCCATTCTGTTCATACCTATGCCTCAGAGACATGGATAATTTCTAAAATTGACGAGAAGGACCTAATGATTTTTTAATGTAAAATCTTGTGACGTAATATCGGTCCATTGAGAGTTGCCGAGGGATGGAGGATTAAGAAGAGCCGTGAGCAGTACAGTAGCCAACCTGCAAGGAGACTGACGTAGTCAGATTCGTTAAACTTGGAAGACTCGGTTGGGCTAGTCACGTGGCTAGGGTGAGTGAAGATGAAAGCCCGAGAAAGGTATCCAAGAGGTCCTTCATAGGACCCGAAGAGCTGGAAGACCAAGGTTGAGTTGGGATGACAGAGTGATAGCAGACGCAAGAAATCTTGTGATTTTTTAATTGAAGGCGACAGCATAAGATAAGACATAGTCAAATGGCAGAGGCTTATTGAGGAGGCCAAGACCCACCCAGGGTTGTAGCGCCACGGAGATGGATAGAAGCTACTTACATATATGAAATGAAATGGAACTATTTTATTGTTCTGATACTGTCACCCCTTTAGAATAAATTATAAACACATAATGAATGACAGTGTGGCCATATATAAATTAAATATTTACAATACTAGCTAATTAAAACTAAACTAAACATACAGAAGAAGAGAGAGAGAGAGAGAGAGAGAGAGAGAGAGAGAGAGAGAGAGAGAGAGAGAGAGAGAGAGAGAGAGAGAGAGAGAGAGAGAGAGAGAGAGAGAGAGAGAGAGAGTGAGAGAGAGAGAGAGAGAGAGAGAGAGAGAGAGAGAGAGAGAGAGAGAGAGAGAGAGAGAGAGAGAGAGAGAGAGAGAGAGAGAGAGAGAGAGAGAGAGCCTTTAACTACGTTCTACAACCGATGCTTCAATGAAGGCATTTTCCCCTGTATCTGGAAACAGGCTGAGCTGGTTACTATCTTGAAGCCCGGTATAACAGAAGTCACTGCTAAATCTTACCTCCCAATATGCCTCCTAAATGTAATGGGGAAAATTCTGGAAAGCCTAATGCTGCAACGCCTAAAAGACGTGACCGATTTGCTCTCTCCTGATCAATTCGGAGGTCGAAAAGGACAGTCAACAACGGATGCCATCAACCAGCTCATATCAACAGCTAAGGAGTCGCCCTATAAATATTTTGTAGTCCTCTTCTATGATGTTGCTGGCGCGTTCGATAATATGTGGTGGCCTGCTATTATGGACGAGCTAAAGAAACTAAAATGCCCCAGAAATATATACAGGCTCATATTATCATTTTTATCGGGGCGCTCTGTCTACTATCAACTTCCGGGAAGGAGAATAACGAGGCCAGTCCATAGGGGTTGTGCTCAGGGATCAGTTTTGGGACTCCCCCTATGGAATATCAACATGAACCCTCTCCTTGTTAAATTGAGAGCTGCCGGGTATACGCCATCTGCTTACGTGGACGATTTTGCTGTTGGAATAGAGGCAAAATCACGACAAGATTTGGAAATAAGGGCAGCGGAAGTCACTGACATAATCTTGCAATGGTGCCAGGAAAATAAACTCTCTTTAAATTTTCGGAAGACTCGACTCCTGTTTTTGAAGGGAAAAATGGTAGGGTTTCTCCCCAGAGTAAAGTTAGGAGATGTCCTAATAAAACCATCTCAGGAAGTGAAGTTCTTAGGAGTCCTATTGGGCGAGAGGTGTAACTTCACTAACCACCTAAAAGAAATTAAGAGCAAAACTATTGTCCGTTACAGTTGCCTTAAAACGATGGCGGGGACCACCTGGGGTCTCAAATATGGTTACCGGGAAACTCTATATAAGGCTTCTTTCTTGCCTATTGCATTATATGCGGCGCCGGTCTGGGGCCAGAAACTGAGACAGTCAGACATCAGAGTGCTGGAGCAAGCTCAAAGAAGATCTCTCCTACTGGTGACAGGAGCGTACAGAACGGCACCCACTTCGGCTTTGCAAGTAATTACAGGACAATTGCCTATAGACCTGAAAATACAAATATCTATAGCCAAATATAGAATAAAGAGAGGAGTGCCAGCAAATGTGGGAACAAGCTGTTTTGTGTGCCCTAGTGGAAGGTACGACGAGGTGGCCAACAGAATAGAAGAACTAGTCCTTTCTGAATGGCAGAGAAGGTGGGATGCATGCGAGACTGGAAGACTAACCCATGAGTTCTTCCCAGATGTCAGGAGAAGAATCAAGAATGACTGGGTGGAGACGGATTTCTGGACAGTTCAACTCCTCACAGGCCATGGAGACATAAATGAAAAATTACATTTTTTTCATAGAAGAGCCAGTCCGAATTGTCACTGCGGGGCTGTTGAGGACGCTAGACACATAATTTTGGAATGTCCAATGTACACTGGCGCCCGACAAGCATTGGCAGGAGAGTACTCCATGTTGGAATGGCCTCCTCAGTCTCTGGACAAGCTTGTGGAGACACCTGAGATATTTGATGCCTTTAAGAAATACGCCAGGAGGATATTCCATGAAAAAATAGCAAGAGAGGAAAGAATAAACCGGTGATATACCAAATACATACATTTATAGTTATCATAAGATTTAGAAATAGTATATATAAAAACTTAGTAGTAGGCCCACAATAAGTAGGTAGGAAGTTACTGGAGTCCTGTTTGGTGGGAACAGCCCTCCAGTTGCAGGCAGCCCATTAGTGTAGGTTTACCCGTAATAATTAATGCCCCAATCAAACTAAAAGACCGAATTTTGCCTCACTTTGACCCAAGAATTTGGATCAAAGTGAGAGCAGACCTGCCCGCTTGGTTACCAATCCTGGTGACCGAGCCCTTTAAATTCGTGGCATATTTTTCAGTTAGAAAATTGGTTGTACCGCTGGTATAGGGTTGCCCTAAGGTACAGCGGGGGGAAAGAAGGAAAAAAAAAAAAAAAAAAAAAAAAAGAGAGAGAGAGAGAGAGAGAGAGAGAGAGAGAGAGAGAGAGAGAGAGAGAGAGAGAGAGAGAGAGAGAGACGCATTCAAATATATATAAAAGAAACATAGGAAACTAAAATAACATATTGTAATAGTCTCTGAGGGTACTTAAAGAGTTCTCTTAGGTTTTTTTTTCGAAATCAGTCGGATTGGAAAACGAGGAGAGGTTTGAAAAAGGAAACTGATTGTGCGTGTCAAATATTACGAGGGATTGAATTACAAAGGATTTGTCAAACGCAACAGTTCAATGGAAAGGAAGATAAACGTCGGAAGTACGTAGTGGTGGGTAAAACTGTTTATCGTGAGTAGCAGTTGCAACTTTTTCTGCTACTTTAAAAAAACAGGTGCAAGTGTTTCAAATCTTGACAAGTATAAAAAAGTCTTCTGTTACCTTTACACTAGTTTAAAACATGAATATAATTTTCATCTCAAAAATAATTATTGATTTAATTGTTAAATTAATCCCGTATCATAAAATATTTTAAAGATAATAAGTAAATTTATTGATGAAAATAATGATTAGGAAAATGAGATAATGAAACGGTTCATTGAACAGAAACTGCATAGCTGTTTATAAGTTCCAACAGTGTAACTGCCGGTTTCATAGAAACAACTATCAAAACAGTTTAAAATACAGTAGAATGTATCTGTTTCAAAGAGCTGTATCGGTTTCAGAGGACTGTTTCTGTATCTGTTGCAGGGAGCTGTTTAAATTAAAAAGCTTTCTGTATCTTTTTCAAAAAACTGTTATAGAAACGGAACTACTGATGTCGATAGGCTGGATAGAGCAACTTCAACTCGATGTAATACTGATTAATAGTGGGCGGGGTGGCCGAATGGGCTAACGCGTGTGCACTGCACCGCCGTTGCCCGGCAACCTGATATATAACACTTTGATAAAAAAAAAGTCACGAGTTCGCGTACCGGTGCCCGGAGGAGTTTTTAAATCCCCCCCACCCACACTCCCTGGCCCGGGAAAACCCCCGTATAGCCTTAGAGGCGGGGAAGGGGAGGACAAAAAAAAAAAAAAAATAACATTAATGTCCGTATCTCATAAGATTCCGTAAACAAAACGGTTTGAGCAATTTATTAGGCGTTTAAGTTTAACTTGAAATTCTCCCGAGAGTCCACGGCACACTATACAGCCATAGTCAAATTAAGGAGGAAAACAAGAGAGGAAACTAGGAGTTGACGAGACTTATTGACGACTTACGGGGCTTAACAGCTGAACTGTTTCTGAGTGGAGAAAGTACGACGAGAAATTTTTGAGATGTGTGTTTTGTTTAATGGAAGTATGGAATGAAATAGGTGAGTTGTTCAGAAGAAGATTGGGAAGGATTCGAGGAGTGATGGAGATTCGATCTAGATGGCTTTCCTCTTCTCGGCGTTTTGAGTGAGCCTGTTGAGGCTTGCCCAAGCGCATATACCGTTAATATCTTCCTGGAGTTTTAGGATGGTTTCAGATGAATTGGTCGGATTGAAGGAGAGTTAAATTTGGTCGTCGTTGGCATACAGGTGTTATTGACAGTGTGGGATAGAGGGTGGAAGGTCATTGTTATACATATATACCTAGGTCAATAAAACTACCTAGGTAGTTTTATTGACCTTGCATATATACAGTGGATCTATTTCATCCTTTCATAACCTACCGGAATATTACTTCAAATTTTAGACCTGGAGGCACGGGCAGATCTACGGGGGGGGCTTTCGGGCTGAAGCCCCCCCCCAAAATGGAAAAATATAACCATGTTTTATGGGAAAAAAATTTTAAAAATACCTCTTAAAGTATTATTGTTCGTGTAATTACATTTAAAAGTACTTAAGGAATAACTTAAACACCATTTCATATAGGTAGTTAGGTTCTTTCTGTTTTGCAAAGTAATTATCGTTATTTTTATGAAAAAAAAAAGGTTTCGGGCTGAAGCCCCCCCCCCAAAAAAATTAAATTCTGAATCCGCTAGTGCCTGGAGGAACTGTTTTGATTTTCAGCTCTCCTTTAACTATTTCTTATCATTCAATTTTTATAAATTATTTTCTCTGGAATTATACTATTTGCTTTAAATTCATGGAAATTACTTAGTATAATTTGATTAAAGGTAGTTTATGACCCATTACATATTTGCCTTTTTATTTTTATTTTGACTTCTTTGGCGATAAAATTGTTAACTACTATGACTAATCAAAAAGATAGCCTCCGTTGTTGATAACAGTATTTTCCCTCTCTTAGTTGAAAACTGGTTTCAAAGTTTGACAGTGAAAATTATATTTCTATGATAAAATTTCAGTATGTCTGCCAAAGAGGAAAATAAGATTTACAATGAAGCATACAGTGGAAACTTTGAATATGTTAAAGTAAAAGTTGATGAAGATAAAACTCTAATTTCTTCACAAGATTCGGTACACAAATAAGCAATGGCATACATATTAATTTTTTTTATTGTTTTGAAATACTGTGTTTTTAACAGAATGGCCGCACACTATTACATTGGGCTGCTTTAAGTGGAAAAGTTGAGCTTGTTCAATATCTTTTGGATGGGGGTAGTCCAGTCAATGCTGTGGATGATGTAAATACACCAATAATAGATCATTATTATTCTTTTTAAAATGTTTATTTAGTTAATGTTTTTACTAAATATTTCATGTTTAATTTTCTAGATAGGAATGACACCATTGATATTGGCTGCTTCTGCTGGGAAAGTTCAAGCATGCCATCTGCTTATTTCAAAGGGTGCTAATGTAAATGCAAAAAATGATGAAGGCCATTCTGCACTCCAATATTCTGCATCGAAAGGCTGGAATGATGTATTAAATACTTTTAAAGTTTAAATAAACTATTATTTTATTACATAGAAACACACTGAAACGTGTGTATCATATTATTATCATAAGGGAATAATTTTTGATGTGATAATTATTACAGATTGTTAAAATGCTATTGATTAACCATGCTGATATAAATATAGCAGACAAGAGAGGAGCCAGACCACTACATAGAGCTGCATCTCAAGGTAATACTGCTGTGCTCAAAATCCTTCTCGATTTTGGGAATCAACTTAATATTGATGCAGTTGATGCTTATGGAAACACTGCTTTGTAAGTATAATTTTAACGAATACATATTACATTTTGAAACATAGTCCATGTCAGTGCTTTGCTTTGATAATCATAATGAAAATGATGTGGGTTGATATCAGTACTACTGCCCTTTCATAGGTTAACTACATAAAATGAGGAGGTGCAGTTTTCTAACAGAGCTTAACTATCTACGGAATATATACAATAAAAATTTTAAAAAGTTTTTTTGTTGTTTTGTCATTACTCAAGCCAAGGAATGGTGTATTTTTTTTCAACCTTACTATTTTAATTCTTTTTAAATTACTCTTAGTGGTGATTTTATCTTAGAAAAATATTGAAATTTTTTGATTTGTTTAATTATTATTTCAATTTAAATAATGTAGAGATGGTCGACCGTTGATATAATATGAGGAGTTAATCGGGGTGCAGTCAAATAAATACTATATTGAAATATTAAATAATTACTATATTTTAAATTAGTATTCATTTAAACGCACCCTCCCCCTCCCCCCGATTAACTCCTTCTCAATTTAAATAATAGTTCATGATTATGCCTTTCATGTATGGATCACATATGAATATTAACTATATGTTATCCTCATCTTAAGAAAAGTTAAAAAAATTAATGTAAGAAGTTGTATGTTTGATGGAATAGGGGGTGCAGTCTAGAGTCACATACATAATACCCTGTATACTATTTATGGGATAGCCTATGTTTGTAGGTCTTCATCAGGGCTTAAAAGAATAAGATACAAAAAATGACTACTAATTGGTACAAGTTACTAAAAAGATAAAATGTTAAATTAGTACAAGGTATCAAATACAAGCTATAAATTTATTTTAGGAGGTGAGAAAATTCAAGTAGTAAATGAAATAAGTATAAAACTGGGGATGTGATGGCCCAGGAAAAATCTATCAGTGCTCCATGGACAAAAGTCTTATCCATTCTCTTACTTAATTTATGAATATATTATATTTACTAGCTGTCTTCTTGTTTATTAATTAATTAATGAATGTTATAAGCAAAGACATTTCATTACCTTAAATAATAATTAACCTCTTTATGAAATTAGAAAATTGTGCGCTTGTTGTTACTGAGTTCGATATATAAAAGGATTTATGTCATTTCCATGCGTTTACAGTGATTTTATATTGAGAAATAAAGTCTAAATTCACGAAAAGCATATTTGAAGGTTAAACTATATGAAAAAAGGACTTAGTATATTGGCAATAATGTGATATGTTTTGTTGAATCTCAATATGCACAGAAAATATATATAATTAACAGTCGAGAAAATAATAATAATAATGCTTTATTAATTCTGGAACAAGTCCCTTTAGAATAACGTACAGAGATAGACATATGGGCTTTGGAGCCTCAGAGAATAATTACAAAATAAACAGATTTATTTAATGAATAAATAAAAGAAAAGAATATTATTTACCTTCAATCTTCAATTAAGAGGAAAAAAAATGAAATAAAGTTATTTAAAACAAACTAATTATTTATATACATATTTACAATTTTATGAGGACTGAATGGATAAAGGGTGATTGAACAGGCGGGATCTAGAGGTGTGGAGGGTTTTGGAGTGACGGGTGTAGGATGGGATAGAATTCCATTGGGATGTGGATCGAATATTGAAAGATCTGTCGAAAGCAGTATTTTTAATTTGAATTAAAATATTAACTATGTTTGATTATTATTTATTTATTTTCGTGAATATTTTTTCTAACAATTTGCTACTTGGCAATTGATAAATCTTCTTTAACTCAGGCTGATGTAACTTTAGTCAGACACACTGGCCGTTCCGTATCTGTGCCTGTCAAAGTTTGGCCTTATCGTTATTCTGTCACTGCCCAGGCTAGTTTCTCTGTACCTTTACCTGTCACAGATGGACTTTACCGGCACTCTGTCACTGGCACAGTCAGAACGGAGCAGTGGGGCTGCGCCACTGTTCCACAGCTATTGTGCCAGTGACAGATGTACTGGCAATATTTCATAGAAATACAATATCTTATATACATTGGTAGACTACAAGATATGTTATACTTTACTTAGTCTATTAGTAATGAAGGAATTAATTAGTCTTTTATGTAATGAAGGATTAGGATTGGGAGGAATATGAGAAGATAGAAGAGTTCAATGTGGTGTAGATATTGAAGGATAGATAAAAGTGATAATAAAAGACAAACATATCTTTCATCTAGAAATGCTGAAAGACCCAAAGCAACTGACAGGATAGGGGAAGACAGGGAGGGGCTTATTATGGTTTGTAAGGTGTGTAAAAAGGGACTAAGGAGCATATAGAACTGTCTGGTTGTTGTTGGTCACTGTAGATAAAATAGTGATAAATGGAAATAAGATAAGGTCAAGGTTTCATGCCATAAGAAAAGTAGTGTAAGTTATATATCGATGACCTCTCATTACAAGTTCATAACTGACCTTTTTCCCCATAATTTATTTTTTAATCACAATTTGAATTTAAATTCTGTATTTGATAGTTCTGTGACAGAGCTATCAGATAAAAAATTTATAATTAAATTATGAGAAAAAGTAAATAAATAATAGCAAACAAGTCATTTAAGAGATTGTATGTAAGGTCATAGATGTGTAAACTTAAATTTAATAATAATAGTTAATTAGTAGTAATCACAATTATTTTTAGGCATTTGTCCTGTGAGGAAGATCGGCAGGAGGAATCTAAATTGCTAATAAGCCATGGTGCAAAACTGGATATAAAGAATAAAGAAGGTCAGACTGCTTTTGACTTGGCTCCCTCAGCACTAAGGACCAAATTATTGCAGTTGGTCTGATTTATCAATCATTACTATATCTGATATATATTTATAAACATTTTTTTTTTTTTTACTCATATTTATAAACTTATTTTAATAACCTCTTATGATGTTTTGTATTTTTATTTAAAACCCTCCTCTCCTATGTATATTAATGTCCATAAAAAGTATTAAACCCAGAAACTAATATTAATCCTATCAGTCATCTATGTTTTGATACCATAATTCAATAACTAATTCTTATTCTAGTTATTAGAAACTTATAACATAGCAATAATGAACAATAATTTGTTTTCTCTTCGTAATACTATCGTTATAAAAAACATAATATCTTCTCAAGATTACTTATTATAGTGATGGAAGAAAAAACAAACAAAAAAGAAATTACATATTTATATATACATAACTACACAATTTATAAACTATAGGCTAACTGATAAAAAATGAATGAATGAAAAAATGAACTTAATACAAAATGTAATAATATCTAGTGATTTACATAATAATATGCAAACACTAAAAGAAATAAAAATAAAATCTTCTCAGGAATACTTGTGGTGTAATGGAAAAAAAGAAATAAACATACATATATACTGGTACACAGAGAGACAAGTATAACCTGGATAAATAAAACGATAAATAACAAAAGTAATAACAGGAAGGCATTAATTTAGATGTTAAAATATAATTAGTAGGTAGTAAATTAATAAGCTAACACTATAAAATAATATAGTTGAAATGAAAAAATATAATACATACATGTATACCCAGAAAGAGAAAAGCAAGACCTGAAGTGAAGAGTAAATCAAATAAATAGTAAAATTAATAATCAAACTTGGTGACAAAGATCATTGATGTTTTATGCTAAAACTTAAACAGTGGGCATCACCATTAACTTCTCACAAATTCAATTAATAAAATGAAATTTATGGTTGACAATTGTCTGATTGAGATGTAAGGAAGGTGTTTAAAAGATGACAGGGAAGAGACATGATGGATGTTATGAGGCAAGGAATTCCAGAAGGTAACGGAGTGGGTTAAGAAGGAAGAAGGTTCATAGGTTTCTGTCCTATGGGATGATGGGGTATAGAGGTCAGAAACACCGGATCTCGTTTTTATTGAGTGGTCTGAAGGTTTAGGCTGAAGGAGACTGGGAGTTTATCATTTGATATAAAAAATTTACAAGGAAGTATTTGCAGCGGGAAGAGCCACTTTGACCCGGCATATAGGTAGAACAAATGAGACCATCTCGAAGTACCGAAGATTAATCTTAAAAAACAGTTCATGATTCTCTTTTCAAGCACCAACAAGAGGCCGCCTTATACCACACAGCTGTAGCCAAAGTGGGCAAAAATCAATGAGGAAACTAGGAGCTTGCGGATATGTTGTGGGGAGTACTGATGTGAACAATGGAATAATTTTCCTCCTGGGGATATGAGCAATATGGGGTTTCCAGGATAAGTTTTGATCAATGGTAATTCCTAAGTTTTTTACAGAGGAGGTGAAGGAGAGTGGTTGGGCATTAATAATCAAGGAAAGGATGGGAATGGATCTAAGGAGTTGGAACCTATAAGAATGGCCTCAGTTTTCGTTACGCTTAACTTTAATTTATTCAAACATGCCCAGGCACTGATCCTATCTATGTCTTTCTGAATATTAGTAAACGCTTCTAATAACTCATTGGGCGGAAAGGATAGATAAATTTAGGAGTCATCAGCATATATGTGGTATGAGCAATGGTGGATTGAACTAGGAAGGTTATTGATGTAAGAATTAAAAAAGAGGAGAAATGCTCGAACCCCAGGTTACTCCATAAGACAGCGTGAAGATGGAAGATTAGGGTTGATTCGGAATACTGACAGCTTGAGTCCTGTCAGAAAGGCAGGATTGCAACCATGGGATAGAACTATTGGAGAAGGATAGAGATTTTAATTTAGCGAAGAGGGTAGAATGGTCTGAGGAATTGAATACTGACAGTTTTCTTTAGTCAATTGCAACATGTATGTCATTTGTGATTTTAACTAGAGCGGATTGAGTGAAGAAAGCCAGATTGGAGAGGATATAGAAGTTTGAACTCTTCGAACAAATTGGAAATTTGGGATTGGATTATTCTTTCGAGGGATTTTGACAGATTAGGGAGGATGAAAATTGGACTATAGTCCTTAGCAGAGGTGGAGTTAGGGATTTTGTTAATAGGATGGACTAAGACTTTTTTTCAAGGGGTAGGAAAAATAGAATTTTGGAGGAAAAAGTTATGAATGGATTAGAAGTACTGGAAGGATTTCAGGGAGGCATAATTTTAACAGTTTGACGGTTATTCCGTCAATCTCTATAGTTGGATTGAGATTTCATTATGGAGAAAATAAGGTCCGTAGGAGTGATGTAGGAAAAATAAAAATTGTCACTATTGAATGAAGATGATACAGAAATATGGGAAGAGGCGGGAGAAACGTTACTACGAGGATAAAAAGTGGGAATTTAAAGCATCCGGAGACTGGGATGACTAAGAAGGAAGATGATCTGCAAAGAAACAGCTTTTGAAATAAATGTCATTCAGATTTAGAATTGGGAGCAGAGGAGAAGGCTTCATTAAAGTAACTGGATTTTGCTTGCCTGATTGTTGTTTGCATCAAGTTACGGAGTACCCTGAACGCTTCAGTCATCTGCAAGCGTGATTCTTCTAAAGTATCTACAGGCCGCCTCAGATCTCTTTTGCATACTTCGAATTTCTTGATGTATCCAAGGAGCAGATTTACGGCGGAATGCAGAGGTTTTAAGAGAGGCATGGGTATTGAGGATATGGAGGAGGAAGATTAGAAGTAAGGATATATATTTTTACTTAGTACTCCCATATTACATCATAGGTTACTTGCAATAGACTTGACAAAGCCATTGGGGTACACACAAATATTTTATTCAATAAAAATAAAGGAAAATATTAATTAATAAGAAGCAGTTATGTTGCTGAATCGAGACAAAATACTCTTACTGAGTTTAACTTGGACTGAGGGAGGTGATGAGTTAGTTATCTTCAGTTTTCCAGAAGAGTCTACTTTTCTTTATCACAGATGTTATTCATAAGAAAATATAAAAAGTTAATACTTATAAGAAAGCCTTACACAAGCATGCAAGTAGGTAGGCATTTAACAAGTAAGGAAATATTGGAGTTTGAAAATAGACTTTGTTATTGAAAGCAATAAAAGAAACTAATAAAAATATTAAAATAAAAGTGGCAGTGATTCAAGTTTAGAAAGTGGTGGTGGATGAGTGTAATTAGATATCACTTTTGCAATTTCGGTCAGAGAAACAGAGCCAGATTAAAATCCACTTGCATATTGAATTATGTATGTATGTTGATATTGAATTTGTAGAATTAATTTTAATCTCACTCTGATTATCTTTCGGATAACCTGTCTTTCCTGAACATGAAACCCAATAAAACAATAAACTTTATCAAAAATATTTATTACACATTACTGTACATTCAATTATATTAAAAACGTGATTTAATCAGAGAATACTTTCTAATCCATTGAAAACAAAATATCACTAGGACATCATAGCCATCTTGGGATCACTTGTGATCATCATTTAAAAATAAAATTTTAAGATACATAGTCCATGTATATATACATATACTTATATCTCTTTGTGCTTAGAGAACAAAGAACAGGTAGAAAACATATTTTTTTTATTTCGCTCACTGCAACTCCCAACAAAATTATCCAGTCAATTATGTCTCCATCTTAATTAAATAACAATTTACTTTTTGATAATATTGACCTATTAACAAAATTTAATTTCCTCATCTCAAAAGAATAAATTTAAGACAGATAAAAAGTACTCCAATTTTTACAAACAGTTAACTGATTAAAGCACTCACCCATTTCAAATTTACCACTTATTAAAAAGAATCATGATTCAATCACAATCTTCATCCTCAGGTTCAGGAGGGTCAAAATCTCGAGTTCTTACATCAGCTTCTTCTCCATACTGAATTATATTATCTATAGTGAGAAGTAAATCAGAAATACACTCGTGATCTTTAATATTCAGAGGGAAAAACCTAACCAAGCTATAATCTTCTATTATCCTTCCTATAGATTCAGTTAATGTCCTGTACTTTAGATTCCACTTAGAACTAGATTCCATTTCTCCTATGAGGTAATGTGGATCAGGATCAAGAAAATTATCTAACTTATTTTTTGCAGATTTACTAAGAAGATCCATTTTACTCAATATGTTAACATGAGGGAGTTCTAAATTAACCATCACAGACAAGGCAGACATTGTCCCAGAAATAAATTTTGCACCATCCACCATAAACTGAGCATCAATCAAGAAAACAGCACAAATCTGAAAGTTCCAATTTTGAAGAAGTTCAACGAGATGTTTAATGGTAGTCATGTGAGTATATAGTTCGATTTGCCCAGGGCAATCAAAAAGAATGTAATCATCATCACCATCCCCAAGCTTTTCACGTAGCCATTCATGATTTTCAACAAGATATTCCATGCAAAATATTAATCCTCCGTTCGGTCCAAACTTCAAATCCACATCTTCCATGGCATCATCTACATGTATTAATTCTCGAACATCAGCCATTGGATCATAAGTGAAAAATTCAGCTGCTGGATCTAAGTTCACAACTTCAATCGTTTTATTGCAACCAGCTGCATGTTGAACTACAGTAGAACAATACGTAGATTTACCACTCCCAGCCGGACCAATAACTAGTTGAGCATACCTCATTTCACCAGCATTGACAAAAGTAAATAAACACAATAATATACAAGTAGGTTACAATAAGGTTAACATCACTATAGCATAGAATTTTTGTATCGATCCTACTACCATCGAAGTTATTCTAGTTATTAAGAATAACGTTTAGGGATTGGATGGCGTCGGCGCAAGACGATTGGAGCAGGCCAAGACCTTTAACCGGCTGGTAGTGCAACATAACATAACAATAATAATCTTTATTTTATAAATTCAAATTTACCTTATTTATTTTATAAAATGCAACTGACATTATGTTTTAAATGGGACATGTTTCTAACTCTAGCCCATGATACAATCAGATTAATAATAGAATGTAGTAAAACCTACTACGCACATGCCCCAGCATTGGTGGGTCAGTAAGTTGGAGGCATATGAAAGACTCATTATATTAGCTGTAACTTGTATGAGATAGCTCCTTACCGCAGAATTATTTTACAGATGTAATCATTGAAAAAAAGTTAAAACTTGTAATTGATTCACATTTTACAATCTTCTGTGAGTCATGAAAGTGTTATGTGTAAAATAATAGAATACATATTGTAAAAAACAAAACTTAAATTTCAATATGTAAATCTCCAGTTGCCTTAATAAAATACAAGAGTAGGGATAAGAGCACACTCCATATGCACCAATCCCTTACAAACATTTGTGTTTATCACATAAATTATGTTATTTCGGGGTGACTATGGACTATCAGTTAAGACTACACTGAACTAGGAACGAGTCAAGTACAAATCACAAAACATAATGAAGGACGGCTTATAAAGGTGCTACTTCCCAAATTGAATAAAGAAATTACAGATGTATAGCAGAAATTACAAGATTTGACTTAACCAACAAGATGAAACTGGTTTATTTGTACCTCTTAATATTTCATCTTTAGGGAGCTCTAGGGTCTGATTCCTTTCATAAAGTTAAATTGCCTTTAAGTCCTCAGAAAAGCGTGGGCGTTCTTCTGAATGAAGGAGAGCTGAAACAATGATACTTTTTCTTGAGAATGGAGAGTACGTACATAGAAGAATGGAAATACAATTAAGTGTTAATGATGCACATTCTTGGGAGAGCTACGGTTCAACGAAGATTCAATAACCAAATGAAAATCTCGATAAACTGGTAAACTTTGACTTACTTAAACCGGAGTAGAAGCTAAACGTTGCCAACCTATATCTCTTACAGGGTCTTACTTATCCCCTCCAAACTACGCCATTCACAAAGCTGCGTCCTGACATATTAGATGATCCGACACCATGATTCACAGATGTGCAAAGGTCATTATTGGATCCCATGTGAACCCCTCCATGGTGATGTTAAACGCCCCTAGAGATACTGAGGATTGGGATCAATCCGCTACGTATGGGAGGCTCTTCTGCAACATTGGTTTATTGCTCAGCGACTTGGACACCCTTTACCAACCTACTTTCGATTATTCGGCTAAAGCTGCTGTATTGTATCGAGAGATTGGAGGATTGATTAGTAACGTCGGAATATGAATTAAGTACGGCTGCGGAAGAGCTTTGTTAAGAAATGGGCCAGTTGCAGACCATTGGAGTAGGCCATTTTAAGGAAACCCCAAAAGCGAATAAATACATATACGAAAAGCATGAACTTTCAGAGTCTGGATGGTCGAATACCCAGAAACTAAATATCAATTATGAATCTCTGCGTGGAGTCCTAAGTGTCAGCGGACAGGTCAGAGAAGCTGGGTCCCTGTTGGGTTGGGTCGCAAATGCTACAGAGAGCCTAAACACCAGTACACATGCTGGGGAAATTCCAAAACTACTCCCTCTTTATAACATGTCGTCACAACGTGGTAAAACACGAATTGATGAGGATCCTTAAAGAGGGTGATTTCGCCAGTTTCAAAGAATTCTATTGCATCAATACGAATAAATCCACGCGGTATGCCGAAATCTTGTCCTTCCCTAAGACAGGAAAGTCGGTGTTCATTCTGGATGCTGCCGTAAGATACGAAACCAATGACCTCGATCAGACAGGTAAGTTAGAAAGGAAATGTCCGACAAACGCACCTCTTTCCTTAAGGAAACGTTCCGGGAGAGTTTCATGACAAGAGAATTCAACGTAAGATACCTCTGGTTTGGAGCTTGAGAAACAATATCAAACTCAACAGGAAGCTTTATGGAGAGCCGTGGTGTCAACATACGGGACAAAACAAGGTTGGCCTACAACGTAGTTCTCGACTTCTTGGAAAATATCCATCACCATGTGCTTGGGAACGCTTAGGGTGAGATTGTGGAGAGGTGGCATGCTTATACTCCAACATTTTTTAAGTAAATATGTACTATATTTATTTATCTATAGTGAGCGGGGTGGCCGTACAGGCTAACGTGTGTGCACAGCACTGCCGTTGCCTGGCAATCTGATCTATGAGACAATGTATATTAAAATAGTCACGAGTTCGCCTCCCGGTGTCGGGAGAGTCTTTTAAATCCCCTCCCACACCCCCTGGCCCGGAAAAACCCCGTATAGCCTTTAAAGGCAAGGAAGGGCAGAACCCCCCCCCCAAAAAAAAAAAAAAAATATATATATATATATATATATATATATATATATATATATATATATATATAATTAGAGGCTAACGCATGAGCACAGCACTGTGCATTTCCCGGCAACCAAGCAGCCGAATATTTGAGATAGAAAAATAATTACGAGTTTAAATCCCGGTGCCCGGTGGGACTTTTAACTAGGCATAATTCAAGAAAGAAGAGAAGACTGTATATTTATAAATTTTATTTAGTTTTTGTTATGTGTGCACTTTTTTTACTATCATTATTATTGTATAATTTTAAACATTTTATTATTCATCATTAGAAAGTTCTTTTATTTATTTATTTAGAATATAATATAATATAATATTCTGTCACATGGAAAATATTTATAGTGAGATATGAACACATTCACACCATATATACAGAAAACTTAAAATTAACAAAAGTAAAATAATAACTAAATAATAATCAAACAACTATGTACAATAAAAAATAAAATAATCTAAATATAAGTAAAATAAAAACTCAGCCATACTTATATTCAATATATACAAGGTAGGGAACGACAACCCAGGCTTGTCCTTCCAACTATAGAGGGAAAAGCAGGGCTCCAAAAAATCCCTACGCTACTCTCTCAACCGCGTCACTAGTGCTAAAACCAGTGGAGATTGAGCGAGAGCACTTTTGCTACATACAATCATGTCTTGAGGGGAAAATCTGGCCAATTTCAGAACTCCAAGATATATACTACAAAAGATCTCTGGGCCACTGCCGCTTCAACCTTCGAGGAGGATTGTAGGGATGGATTGTGCTGGATAGGGATTGTGCAAGGGGATTTGGATGATTTATAATGTTCTGATGGAATTAGGAAAAATTTTCAGGGATAAGGCCTAGGACAAATGGAATGTTAAGTTCACGATGTAGGGTTTTGTTGGTTAGATAGATCGGAGCTTCAACTATTGTTCGGAGGACTTTTGACTGAAAGGATTCGATGCGTTTGATGTTAGAAAATTTAGCTGTCACCCAAAGTTCAAGTCCGTAGGTCCAAATAGGTTTCAGGATTGTCTTGTATATCAGTAATTTGTTGTCAATTGAAAGTTGATATTTTCTATTCAGTAGTCTGTATAATTGGCCGTTTCGTCTGTAAAGTTCTTGTCATTTAAGTCTAGATGTGGGTTCCACATTAGTCTTCGGTCTAAGAGAAAGTCAAGATACCGGACTGTGTCTGAAAAAGGAAGCTGGATGGAATTAAAGTGGACTGGTGGACAGGATCTGCGCCGGAGCGTGAAGGTAACGTGTTTGCATTTTCATTCGTTTACTTTGATGCGCCATTTATTATATCAGGGAGAGGTGACTTTGCAGATTCAAAGATGCTCTTCCGGGATCTGAGTTGGATCATAGAATGTTGGTGTCATCAGCAAATGTTGCCAGAAACGTATCGGAATGGACTGGGATATCTTCGGTAAAAAGGATATAAATGACAGCGCCTAAAACGTTACCTTGAGAAACACGGGCTTCAACTGGGTAGGAATTGGAAAATTCTGTACCACAGCGAACTCGGAAAGTGCAACCAGAGAGGTAAGAGCGGAGGATTAGGTACAAGAACAAGAGTAGATGGGTTTTCAGCTTGGAAAGAAGCCCGGCGTGCCATACCCGGTCAAAAGCTTGAGCTATGTTTAGAAATGCATCTGAGCAGTATTGCTTGCTTTCCAGCGCTGCGGAAATATGATCGACCACTCGGAGTCCTTGGACTGTGGAGTGTTGTGAACGAAATCCGAAATGATGGCAAGAAAGATTTTAGGATTCTATAAAGGATACTATTCGTTTCAGGAGGATCTTTTCGAAGATTTTTGAGAGGATTGGAAGTTGGCTAATTGGTCTGTAGGACGTCGAGGTGTTGGGAGGTTTGCCTGATTTCGGAAATAGGATAATAGTGGAATGTTTTCACAAAAGAGGAAAGTGGGTGGTTCTTAGGATGGTATTGTATAAGAATGTCAGAAATATAACAGCTTTAGGAGGAAGTGTCGGAGGATTTGAGATGTAAGGAGGTTGTATCCAGGAGATTTACGGAGAGGAAGTTTTTGAAGGTGATGTTTGACCTCGGAGGGATTAACTGTTTTAGGGGGCAAGGGAAGTGGTATGGGTGATGTAAGGAATTCTTATACTGTTGTGGTATGGGGGTGGTTGGATTTCGGATGAAAGGTGAATGTTCTGGAGAGGTGGCTGGCGAATTCCTCAGCTTTGTCGTGATTTGGGATTTCGTTTGTGATTTTCCATAATTTTAAATATTTTAGTATTAATCATTAGAAAGTAGGAATTAGGTTGGGAAGATAGAGAGGAAATATATAAGGGTAAAAAGAGAGATAGAATGGACAGAAAAAGAGATTGAATGTTAAGTGTGAAAAAATAAAAATAAATACATGGAAAAAAAGTTTACTTTACTCATAGATACATATATAG